GCTATATTTACCAAGAAAAACACCTGGATAAAGTGATTGTTGATATGCCAGATGATCCCATCAAGTTGGATGCCACACAACATGCCACTGAAGAAAAGCTGAGGATCTTTTGGAGCACTAATATTTATGATGCAATTAGATTAAAGTTTTCTGAAAATTTAGTGCTGACATTTGCCATGCAAGAAAAAAATTCAAAGGTTGCAAAGTCAAAATTAGGGAGGGAACATGGAACTTAAAAATATGATTATAGAAATTTTAAACACAATAAAAGATACATAGAATAAACTGCATTAGAATCTTGGGCATCAGGAAATTGAAATGGACTGGACATTGGGCGTTTTCAGTAAGAAAACCATATTGTTTATTATTCTGGACATGAAATCCTAAGTGGAAAGTTGCTTTCATAGTCAGGAAGATGTAGCAAAGATGGTACTTGATGACTGAATATCAATTAGATTCTGCAGACAATATATGATGGTTATTCAAGTTCCATTGATGCAGAAGAGGAGGAAGTTGATGAGTTCTATACCCAAGTTCAATCCAAAACTGACATAATTTTCAAACAAGATGTGTTGCTTATGGTTGCCGACTGGAATGCCAAAGCTGGAAACAATAAGGAAGAAAATGTAGTTGGACTACATGGCCTAGGAAACAGAAACGAAGCAGGCAAATTACTTACACATTTCTGCCAATCTAATAATTTTTTCATTGCTGACACATTCTTCAAACAATCACAATAAGGACTAATATACATATATATGAGCACAGTGAAAACAAATTGAGTATATTGGTCTAAGGAAGTGGAAGAGATCGGTTATAGAATGCAAAAATGCGGCCAAGATCTGATTGTGGAACAGATCATAAACTTTATGTAAATTTCAAATCAAGCTAAAGTGGAAGAACAAAGTTAACCAGTTACCCTGATATGATTGAGTATATACTCATTGTTTTCAAGGGGAAATTGAAATTTTCAGGAATTGCTCTGAAAGCCTGCACCTTAATAGAGAACCAGAGCAACTATGGAATGATGTAAAAGAAGCTGATGTTTGAAGGAATGTGGAAAGGGACTGTCAAAAGACCTGCACATAAGAAATCAAACTGGAATGATGTCATTGCAGGTGGTGGGTATTCCCAAGAAGAGAAGAGACAGCAAAACCAAGAAAGATAAATATCTGGGAGGAACGTTACAATAATTTCATAGAACTGTTAAAAGAGAGGCTCAGTATTTCATAAGACATACACGATGGAAACAGAGAAAATGAAGAACATTTTTCCAAAAAGATCTCCCATCTCCAATATTGCATCAATTTCCTATACTAAAGGATACCAATCAACAGACAGTAATTGATTAAATGAAGATCAAACAGAAGTGGAGTGTATAAATAAGGGTTTTCAACATCTAAAATATCTTAGAAGAGATACACTGTTTAAAAGAACTTCCAATTCTAGAAGTTAGTTACATCATTAGCAAGTTAGAAGCTTACAGGTAGAGCAGCTACAGAAATATGGCAAACTGCACACTTACCAATATTAAGAAAATTTAGAGTGTGCAAACTATTGCACAATATCCTTGATTTTACATGCTAGTAAAATAATGTTTAGAACAGGGGTGTCAAACTGGCGGCCCGAAGCCGGATGCGTCACACGCAGGCCATGCCCACTCCAGTTCCACAAAGGGGAAAAACATTGTGAAATGTCAAGTGATAGCAACGTGACCCTACGAGTTTGACACTCATGGTTTAGAATCATCCAATGTAGCTTAGACATTTACACAGAAAAGAAAATGTTCAAGCTCATCTTTTAAAAAGACATGGAACAAGAGGTATTCATACTGGATAATTGAGAAAGCCAAAACATCAATTTATGCTTCAGTGGTTATAGAAAGGTCTTTGATAATGTTCTCATGTCAAGCTATGAAATGTCCTTAGGCTTGACTATGAATAATAAATCAGCAATCACGAAATACAGTATAGCAATTCAAGGTCTTGGTAAATATATTCAGGTGCTGTGAAGTATCTGTACCCATGAAGATTAGAATTAGACAAGCAATGGCATTTCCTGTTAAGTTCTATGGATAAAAAAATTAGAATAGAAAAAATATTGATGCTCAAAAGACTCTTCAGAATAATATGGATTGCCATGAAAACAAACAAAATGGATCATAGAACAAATAAATTTAGAGTTCTCACTCAAGGCACAAATGATCAGGCTTAAACTAATGTTTTGGATATATTATATAACTGAAGACCCAGTTTCTTTTAGAGACCATAATGTTGGGAAAAGTGAAAGAAAAAAGAACAGATTAGTACCATTGCAAGATGAATGGACTCAGTTGCAAGAACAATGAATGTACGACCAAGACACCAAAAAGGCCAGGTTGAGAACAATTCAAGGGAGAAAGTCTATCTACATAGTTGCTAAGACTTGACACTAACTTCATGACATTTAATACACCAATTTTGAAAATCATTTCAAGATACCTCTATTAGTCATTAGCATACTATTTGTGCCAAATCATTAATGGTTGGTGAATCTTTTATCATGGATTGCTCATTTAGACTGCTTCTTATGGGTGGAGATATGTTCCTGATGAAATTCTTACTGCACATATATTAAATGGCCATTTAAGTTCTAAACCATATTTGTAGTGAGTAATAAGGAAATTTTAATGTTTTTATATAAAATCCCAAAATAATCTAAAAATTGAAAGTAGCTGTCAACAAATGTTGGGGTTTATAATATCTTCCCCTCTTTTTTGTTATAAAAACACAGGAAGTATATATTATCTAAAGGCAAGAATTACACGAAGAAACACTATTTTTCTACTCAGCTATTAAATAATGTTTTAGAAAACATGAATCAAAACAGGCTTAAACATTCAACATATTATTTAGGATTAACTAGTTGGAAGTCACCTCCAATTTGGTTGATACTAATATTCCCAGCCAAGGATGACAAAAGTCACAGAAGACATTGAAATAATAGCTTTCTTTGAACTTCAAAATTATAAATTATATATTTTCTGATGTGTTATGCGGATTTACAATTTATAGAAAGGCTTAAATAAATTATTTATGAGAAATAATGAGTAATGGAATATTTTTTACCAGTTTTAAAATACTTTTTTAAAGTAACTTGGAAAATACAACTGAGATGTAAATATATCAATGTTTAAGTGAACTGTTCTTTTTCTTAAATATAATATGCATAAATGATTGCTTTATATAAAGTAAAAATGTTTTCTGTCTAGGAAAAGTAAATCATTTAATTTTTCTTAGGGGTAGATGAAATTTTATTAAGATAAAATCTAAAATTTCCAGTGCAATCCAATTGGGGAAAAAAATCTGCTTATTTATTTATAGGTAAATTCCAATGTGCTCACCTTCATGTTTTCTAACCATTACATTTAAAATAATAAAATAACCTAGGACTATAAATGGATAACATAATGAACATGATTATATATGATTGAATCCAAATGCTTAAAATTATTTTGTAGAGAAGACATATTTATAAGTGTGTGTGCATATATGTATGTGTATTCACACACTCACACACACACTTATTTCCTGCAGAATATTAAATAAGATAAGAATCTTCTAAGAAGCATATATTGTTAAATATAAATCTAACTGCATGAGTCCAATGTGAATAGCATCTTTAAAACATCTAATAAAATCCCTCCATTTGGAAGGTGGTTATTAAAAATGTTCATGCACACAGAAATAAAATATTTTTTTCTGCAAGACAATAAAATATAGTAGCAAAGTGAAATAAAATATCAGGAGCAGCAGACTAATACAAATAATGGATTCATGTTCCAAGGTTCCAAAGATATAAACATGTCTGTTCTTTGCTTATTAAGAAAGAAACAAAGATTTGTATCTTCTCTCAAAATGGAATAAGCATTTTGTGAAATTTCTAGAGCTTCAGCAACATTTAGCATCTCAGCATCATTGTTAGATTTAACCCATGACAACTAGTGTGTATGTTTATATACATCAAAATAAGGGATCCATTTGAAAAAGCACAACATTGTATTTCCTTTCCAATTCCAAAAGTACCCCAGAACTTATTTTTATGTAGTTGTGAATTGCACCATAGATGCTTTAGGGAAATCATGTCAAAGTAAATGCAATAAACACATTAGGGTTGAAAATCATGTTAAAAAAAGACATATTAGAAAATTTCAGCAGATACAACCATATACAGGTAGTCCTTAACTTACAACTGTTCATTTACTCACCGTTCAACATTACAACTCTGAAAAAGTGACTTTTTCACACTTATGACTGCTGCAGCAACCACATGGTCATGTGATAATCTTTTGCAACCCTTTGATAAGCAAAGTCAATGAGAAAGACAGATTCACTTAACCAAGTTACTAACTTATCAACTGCAGTGATTCACTTAACAACTGGGGCAAGAAAAGTTGTAAAATGAGGCAAAACTTACTTAACAAATGTCTCACTTAACAACAGAAATTTTGGGCTCAGTTATGGTCATAGGTTGAGGACTACCTGCATTTCCATCCATCCAAATTTAGGAAACAGCCCTTGCCCATGTATTTTGTGTGGATGCTATGAATGCTCCCCATATTACTAGGCCCTGTCATGAAAAGCTGTCTTTAACTTATAAAATATCACCTATTTAGGATCTGCAATTGCAATTAAATCTTGAAGCAACATTTAGCAAAATTAAAAAATATTTTCAAGCATGACAGAAGAAAGTATCAACATCAACATTTAACGAACAGTAAGAAATAAAGGCCCCTTGGTGACTAATTAGCAGCATCTATACAAGCAAAGACTCATTTAAGAACTTGTGTGTGAAAAGGATTTTAAATTACAGTACAAATAAAACTGTGTTAACCTGAAATAGTTGCATGAGTCTGTAAGGCAGAAACATGAGATGAAGCCCTGGAAAGAACTACAAATTAATATTAACTAAAAGAAAGACAGACAAACGATAGTACCCAGTGATTAAAGAGATCACAAACATTTGATATTAAAAAAAGATATATTTTCATTTCCTACTTTGCTTATCTACCACAATGATCTGAGACTAACTTATTGGCAAAATGCAAGACAATAAAGAAATATTACTACTGTATAAAGAGTAATTTCTTTGGCAGATTTCTTATGAGCCACCCAAAATTCTTCATTTCTTCAGCATACAATATATTGCAATACATAAAAGTTTAACATCTCACATATCTGATCCCAAAACAATTTTAAAGTGGTGAAAGTTTTCCCAAGTCCCCATGAAAATGATAAAAACAACCTCAGAAGTAGTTCTATGTTTAGTATGTGTGTTTAGGATTGCAATCTTAGCATCTGATTATACAGCATTCTTCAAGTTTGTAATCTAGGAACATGCCAAACTATGAAGGCAGAGCCACTAGAAAAGTTGAAGACACTGGGACACATTCCATTCAATTTGTACTCAATGCTCCTTTTGTCTATAGTGGCCCAAATATAACAGACCTGCTGTTAATTTTTAGCCACAAAATGATCTAACATTATTATTGGAGAAAGCACTATTTCAGCTTAAACATTACATTTCTGCCCTCTCCATTTTCTGATCAGCACTGTGCAATAAATGCTATTGCTGCTTAAGCAACAAAGAAAAACCAGTTACAATTAACATCAGCTGAACCAAAGTTAAACTATTTAGCCATAGTTTCTGAGGTTCACCAAAAGACACACATCATGACGATATGCATATCCTTTTTGCTTCCATACATAGCAAACTACATATGTGATTAAAATATGCCAGTTATACCATTAAATGCTTTAACAATTCTCAAGATTTCTAATAATGTGTCCATGGAAAAATCCAAGTAAGGAAATACATATTCACAGAATTACATTCAATAGCTGTTTAACAGTCAAGCTGTTTTAGAGATGTCCAATCATACTGATTAATATTTTAATCAGATTTAATTGTCAAATCAATTAATCTAAAGAGAAGGAAACAATGTATTGAAGTGTATTGTTAGGAAAAATATACAAAACATATAAAACACTGGATGGCACAAATTACAGTGCTAATATAAACATATTTTAAGGTAAGTGCTTAACATAAACTGTCCATCCTTACATGTATCAAATAATTATTTTAAAGGGAGGAAAAAGATTCCCTATAAAAATAATGCTATATGGTGCAGAGTGCTTTTTTCAGTGTATCTATTGTAACAAGAGGTGTTCGTAATTATTTCCATTGATAGTTTTTTTCACCACTGATTCCGCTTTTTTCTCCACTTGAAGGAAAATGTTTTGCTTTAACAGTTTTCAAAAGATGAAAGCAAGAGCAGCAGCAGCAGCATAACAGTACCAGCTGGAAGAGTGTGCTTTCAGGTAATTGGGGTGCTATCTGTTGCCATAATTTGTGCTATCAACTCATTGTGGTACCATTTTTTTTACATGAGGTCATTTCATAGAGCAGTTGAGGTAATTTTTTTTACTCCTCTTCTTTGAGCAAGCGTAGAGCGACCCACTGGCTCCAAAACCGGGGACTGATTGCGATTCAGTGCTGAGTATGTAGCTGCCATGGCACCCTAGGAATAAAAAGATTTTTTAAATTGTGAATCATAGGTTCAATGACCACATTACGGAGTTTAAACAAACAGAATTTAATAATGTTGAATTTTAATATTTAAAAGACACAAACATTATCTTAATCTACAGTGCAACATATCTCTGCCTTTCTATTTTGCACCTCATATCCATGCAGGCAAGGAATATGTGTTAATAACATCACCCAATCATTTAAAACATTAGTTTGCAGTTCTCAAATAGGAAGAATTCGTGCAAATAACAACCATTATCTCTCAGAAGCTATACTGATTAGATGATACCGTATGTGCCTTTAGTATCATTGGTTACTAAGTATTCTGATTTCTATTAAGTATTTTACATTCTTATCCTATCACATTAGATTTGGAAACAAAGAAAAATTTAAAGTATGTTAGACAAATTTTGTAGTTTTATTAAACCCATGTAATAATAATAAATTGCCCTTTGAAAAACACTGAAGAGGGGCGGGGCTGAAATCACGGTGTTACGACGTGTCTCACAGGGCTCTGTGAGGATGCATCAAAATCTGGACTGTTGGGATGTCTGGACGGATCTAAATCACCTCAGATGGGCGATGAATAAAGAGAGCACATCCACTGGTCTCAGGGAGCTTGCAATCTCTCTGACTGACCTGGAGAAGGCTCTCAAACTCAGTAGGAGGAAAGCCAGCCACTGCGTGCTGGACTGAAGCTGTGACAATGACCGGAAGCATGGACGATTGAATAATAGTGTGAATGATCTGGCTAAGAGATTTATAACTTTTAACTTTCATAGAAGAAAAAACCCTCTGGAAAGCATCTGGGTGAAAGTGGGACTTAAAAGGAGGAGGTGGACTTGTTTTTTTCCCCTCCAGCTCCCAGAAAAGCGGCGAGAGAAGCCTAGGAGCCATTTTTAGAATAAGAAGTAAAGTCAAAGATCTATCTAAAAAAGGGTGGAAAAACTTTCCAGTTGGAAAGCAGGACTGGATATCTCAAGTACAAAACTGACTAATTTAGAATATGTATAGATATTATAAAGCTTGGAAACACAATTTTTATTAAAAACATTTTTATAAAGTTTGAAATGGAGTGTATTAAGTAAAAAGAGGAAGAGCAAAGAGAAATAGAGCAGCAGTGCCATCTACTGGTAAAAGTGCAAGGAAAAATACATAAATAGTATAACCTTGACTGGCTGAAAAAAACGGATGATAACAACTGACAGATAAACTACTTTTGAACTACAATTGTTCAAATTGAAAAACTGAGGCAGAGAGTGAAACACTGAGATTTTTTTTCTTAAAAAGTGCAGCTCTTGGAACTTAAATGGAAATGAAAAAGATAAAACAAAACAGAAACTGGGAATAGCAGTATATTTCCTTTGCTATTACTTTTGCTCTGTGAACTCTCCACTGGTGGGTATAAAATAGCTGGTGGTTAAATTCTAGGACTTGGTGAGCCTAGTGGATTACAAATTATCAGTTTGTCATTGATAAGAAAGAATTAGGGTTTAAAGAACCTGAAAAACAGCAGCAAGACTGGCAGGGTTTAAAGACTGATAACCTTTGGATTATAATTTATATTTTTACCTTATTCTTGGATTACAATTAACAGTATCATCCCTTACTTTTTGTGGATTACAAATAATAAAAGACTTTAAAATGAGGAAACACTATCTGCAATCTTCAGCATCATCATCAGCAACATCCAGTCCATCAGGTCAGAGGTCACTGGATGCCATATTGCAACAAAGAAAATGAATAGTATGCAGGCAGAACTGAAAGTTATGATACAAGTGCTCCATGAGGACTTTAAAGAAAGAATGGGGAAAGTAGAGGATAAAATAGAGAATTTTCAAAAAATGATGGTGAATAATGAACAATGGATACAGAAAGTAGAAGAGAAAGCTGAACAAACAGAAAAAAGAGTAGAGGAAGTTGACTATAGACTTACATTGGCAGACAAAAACAAAGAAAGAATGATTATAACAATCGAGATGGACAGAGCTGATTATTATTTGCGGTTCCAGAATTTGGAGGCAGAGAAGGGAGAGAACCTACCAGAGATACTAGAAAAGTTGTTATTGGAGGCTTTAGAGGTGACCAAAGAAAAAGCACTTGCTGAAATTGATGAAATGTTTAGAATACAGACTAGATATGCGACAAGAAACAGGCTTCCTAGAGAAGTACATGTAAGACTCACTAAAAAAACAATGAAAACAGAGTTCCTAGAACGAATGAGAGATAATCCTTTAAAATACAAAGGGAAAAAGGTAGTAGTTCTAAAACAGATCCTGAGAACAGTTAGAGAAGCAAGGAGGGAATATAAATCCCTAACAAAGCAACTGATTAAAAACAGAGTGAAATTCAGATGACTGATACCAGAGGGAATATTGGTGTCCTGGATGGAGCAAAGACATAGATTACACACCATAGAAAAAGCAGAACGATTCTACGAACACTACTTTGATCACAAGAGGAACCGAGAATAAGAGAGGAAAGAGAGATAAGATAGGACAGATGACAAGAAGTTACAGTTGAGAGAAGGGTACAAAAAAGAGAAGATGGAAGAGATCTGGAGGAAATAGCAAAGAGAGAAGGAGAGAAGCCTAAAGAACTGAGAGAGACAAGTGTGATTGGACAACAAAACCCATCTAAAAGTAAAACCATGGAAGAAGAAGTAAAATTAATGTCAATTAACATAACTGGATTGAATTCGGCAATAAAAAGGAAAATGACTTTTAGTAAACCAGAAAAATTAAAATTAGATATAATCTTCTTGCAAGAAATTCATATTAAAAAACAATACTATATCTTAAAATTGGGAAGTTTTATACCTCTTTACCACAACAAAAGAGGGGAATAGCTCTTTATGTAAAAGAGACAATAAATGTTAAGCAAATATTTACAGATGAGAAAGAGAGGATTTTGATGGTGGAGATAACAAATAGATACTTCTAGTAGCAATATATGCACCAAATAACAATCAAGAGGACTTTTATGCTCAACTCCATAAGAAAATAATATAATTGGACTATGAAAATATATGTATAGTAGGAGACTTCAATGCAATTGTAGATGCGAATCAAGACTATAAAACTAGAAAAGTAAATTAAAAAGCCAGAGAAACACTACCAAAAGCCTTTTTTTAAATGGCGGAAGAAGTAGGCATTCAAGATGTATGGCGATGTATAGGATGTATTTCATCCTAATGAAAACCAATGCTCATTTTATTCAAATAGATATATGTCTTGGTGCAGAATAGACATGATATGGATTTCAGAAGAACTAAAGTCTAATGTACAGAAATAAGCAATTGGGTGGATCACAATTTGATAAAAGTTATATGGAAGGCACAAAAAAGGAAACTAAGATGGACCTTGAACCAATCAATGCTAAAAGAAAAGGAATTTATTTGATTTATGGAAAGAGAATTGGACTTTTTTTTAAAAAAAAAGAGAATAACCAAAATGGCCTTGCATACCCTTATGGAGGCTTTCAAAGAGCTCCTGGGGGCTGGGGAGGAAAGAAATGAGCAAAAAATGGGCCTTTTTTGCTCGTTTCCCCCCTCCCCCCGAGCACTCTGCAAGCCCGCCCCCCGGACTATTCATGCCTTTTTGGGGGGGAAATGGGCCCATTT